AATGCTAGATGTAGTGTAGTGGCTCCCCCAAAACCCCAAAACCCCGAGGGTCTATTAATGCGTTAATTTCAAATTTAATGTAATTCTTTATTTAAATGAACTCAATTATCAAAAAGTTTTAAGACAGAGGCATAAAATCTGGACATTATGTCAACCCTTCTAAACAAAATGAAACTATAGCGTAAAAAGTAAGCAAAATTCTTTCTTTAAACTTTTTTAGAATCAAACTCAAGCTTCTGATGCATTTAGTAAACAGAAATCAATGACTAATGCTGGTTCAGGGGTTCTCACCAAGCAATAAATTCCAAATACAGCTGGTCTAAAAGCTCATTAAAATCCCATAATGTAGAAGTAATAAGTAGGTATTCCGAACATATCGAGAAAAGCAGTAACATCAGTCGATTCCAGACAACCTTCTAAAAAATAAAATCAGTCAATGATACCAGCATCCAAAGCTGTAGGGAAGAAAAAGTTCAACCTTGATGCTATGATGTACAATCCCACTGATGATTTGAAAATAGATAATGCCGCGACGATTTTTATTGAGCGGGAAAAGTAACATAAAGTTGAAAAGTCATATGAGGAGCCTTCAACTGCAATTAATGAACCAGAGTAAAATATTGAAAATTCCATCATGCAAACATTCAGCAGACTCAATCAAAGGATCGCCTCAGCTTAAGCCAAAATGGCAAAGAACCTTCCAAATAAAAGTAAAGAAAACGCAAATAATAACTCTGAAAATGTGAGCACTTTCAATGATTAAACTTTGAAAGTTCCAGGGTATCAAAGTTTTCACAATGCAGATTAGCTTATCAATACTGCTGATCACTCAGACATTAAGAATACTTAGAAAACCCTCTTTAATTCTAATTTTGGCAACTCTGATAGCACCAATCTGATGAGTAGCGCTTAGTAAAGTGCTTAGACTAGACCTAGCATCAGCAATTAAATGACTACCCCCTCTGATAATTATCAAACCTCCCAATTTACTCTCAATATTTTAGGGGAAAGTGGGAAAGCTTCTGCTAAGAATAACTAAGAAACTCCTAAACAGTTTAATTAAAACCCCTCAAAATTGACGAAAATTCAGGAAACTGATGAAGAAGGCAACAGAATGAGTATCCTTCCTTCAAAGAAGCGACCTAGCATCGTTCCAAGCACTGGTAAGAAAGCTCCAAGTGTCAAGAAAGCAAAAGTAAAGTCAACGAAACAAACTGATAAACAAGCAAATATTGAGGGAAATGAAGAGAAGAAAAGCAATACCATAATGGATAAGATGAAAACTCAAGTAGACAAGTTGAAGGAATCAAAACCTATCTCTAAGAACCCTTCAAACACCCAGCAGAGAACTAACTTCGTGAAGATGAATATGAATAATTATAAACCTAGAATGAGAGGTGGAGCATTCTAAAATAAGATGATGGCTAAGAAGAAAAATTACTTGAAGTTTAATGAAAGAATGAAGAAAAAGCTAATGATTGAAAATGCTAAACATCGTGACTAAGTAAATGCCTATGGTGGATTAGGAAAGGTAGGACTTGATCATCAGGGTGGAACTAAAGAAATGGTTGATGCTGAGGGAAATGCAATTGAGGATTTGGTGCCAGGATTCAGCACTTCTGCTTTGAAATATGTGAGAAAACTTAAGTAATTAAGTGAAATCGATATAAATGAAGATGATGAAAATTTGCTGATTGATGACTTGGAATAAATGAAAGCTGATCTCGAAAAGATCGATGAAGATATCAAAGAGGATATAGTAGAAGTTTCCTCAGACTTCGATAAACCACTCTATAAAATTCCATCATCTGATGAAGAGTACCAGAAAATATTGAAAGAAAGATTTGGACATGAAACTTTCAAGGCAGGTCAGCTTGAAGCGATCAAAATCTTATTGGAGAAAAAGCAAAATGCTTTGGTTGTATTAGCTACTGGAGGAGGTAAATCATTAGTCTATCAATACGTATCAATGTTCCTGCAAGGACTTGTACTTATAGTTACTCCTCTAATTTCTTTGATGACTGATCAACTTGGAAAATTGCCAGATTTCTTGCCAGGAGCATCATTGAACTCTTAGTAAAATTACCAACTCAAAAAAGAAGTAATTAAAGCAATTTAGGACAAGCACATCAAGATTTTATTCATTTCTCCAGAGAAGTTTTTCATTGAAGATTTCAGCAAGTACAATCGTAAAATTGCAATGGTTTGTGTAGATGAGATCCATTGTGCTTCAGAATGGTCTCATAATTTCAGACCAGCTTACCTAAAGTTGCATGATATGATTAAGGAAAAGGTGAGCAATCAGCAAGACAATTGTGTTGTAATGGGACTTACAGCAACAGCAACCAAAGCAACCTAGAGATCGGTATGCAAGATTTTCGATGTTAAGTATCCAGATCATATCGTAACTGAGGCTAATCTGTCAAGAATGAATCTAAGTCTCAGTATCACAAGAGATTAAGATAAGTTAAAGTCACTTTTAGCTTTACTTGCTTCTAATAGTTTCAAGAAACTTACATCTATACTAATATTTGCCACTCACAAGGGTACTTGTGAAAGACTAGCTAGTCATCTCAATGTAAGTATTTATAGTCGATTGAGTTTTCAAATAGTAAAATGGAATTAACAGTTCCGCATATCATGCTGGAAAGACTGATTAGTAGCGCTAAATGATTCAGAAAAATTTCATTAACAATAATGTAAGACTAATTAGTTTAAACTTAATCTTATTCAGATCCGAGTGCTCGTTTGCACAATTGCCTTCTCTATGGGTATAGATAAGTCTGACATTCAATCAGTCATTCATTACGATATGCCTAAGTCTATTGAGAACTATGTTTAAGAGATTGGACGTGCTGGCAGAGATGGTAAACTTGCAAGATGCCATTTATTCCTTTGCAATGAAGATTTCTACTTGATAAGAAGACTAATTCTCACAGATATTCTTGACAACCAAAATGCATTGAAATTAACCAACAAGATAGTAGTTGAGTTTAAGAAAACACTTTTAAAGATTATAAACCCGACATTAGCTAAGTCCAAAAAGAGAAAGCTTAAGTCAATTAGTGGCGCTGAGGAAAAGCATGACTAATTAATTGAAGAATTTGAACATGAAGAAGAAATCAAGAATTATTATGAAGGCTCTGAAAATGATGCAAAGAAGATATATCCAAGTTCTATAAAATAAATTGAGAATCCTGATAGAGTTTATTTATTCTTAGACATTAAGGATACCCTAGAAATGCTAGACTTAAAGAAAGAGGTAGTGTTGACAATGCTAAATTCTCTTGAAAAGCTAACAGACGAAAAGAAATTCTTTAGACTAGAGGGAATCTTACCTGAAAAGATAGGCCTTAGATTCCATAATAAAAGACCTGAATAAATGGCAAAAGATAATTCTTTCATCAGAAAGTTTATGGAAATAGCTAAGGAGCATTAAGGAGTCTACAATGTAAGCACTTAGAGATTAGCATATGAGCTGAATATGAATCCATTCCAAATACCAAAAATCCTCTTCTCATTACAAAATACTGAACATGGAGATATATCCTACGATACAGACTAAGATAGCTTTGTTCTAAGACTTCAACATATTCCAAGTGGTGGATCTACTTTTGATCTATCTTAGGATATGCTAACTGAGACGAGAAGAATTGAAAGAAACATGATTTAAAAACTGAATTGCATGTATTTCGTTGCAAGAAAAGTGAGTCTACCTTCTGTAGAGTATATGCTTAAAAAAGAGAAGCAAGAAGATTCCATGGATATGTACAAAGCTTATTCACAATAACTGAATGATCTCATCAACTTGTACTTCGGCATTGAGTAGGAAGAAAACATGGAAATATAGATTGCTGGAAGTGAGCAAGAGAGGAATCTAATGATGCCTTTATTATACATAGATTCACATCGCGATAAAGCTAATGTTGAGGTAATTACATATTCAAGAATATAACAATTTTAGAGCGAAATAAAGCAAGTATTGAAAGAATTCTATGACTAAAACCCAGGCTAAATAGATGGCAATGACAGACTAAAACCACTTGATATTGTCAAGATATTAATGGGTATATATAGCGATAGATCAAATGTAAAGAGGTTCGCTAACAATAGCAGAGTCTGGGCCAAATTATAAGAATACGACTATGAGGATGTTTTCAAGGTTGCTATAGCAACTGTTAACTAATATTATCTCGATGTGCTTAGCGGTAACGGTAGTAGTAAAATAGATATGATGCCCAAGGACATCATAGAAGGTGAGGCTTCTAAGAAGAGAAAATTAAACTGAGTTCAATAATACCACCTTAATAGGCTAATTCTCATTGGAGTTAATGATTGATTGATGAGAAAAAATAAAATAATTTGATGTATAATCAAAGTTATATTGGACTAATATCTTAATTAAAAGTTTATTAATCATTAAATAATTACCTCATAGATGTTAAATAAATCCCTCTTTAATCTATAAATATTTGATGCTGATCTTCAAATCATAAAAATAAATCACATTCAGAAAATGGCACAGCTCTCACCCTAGTTGGAAGTATCTTATGAAGAGAGCATTTTATTAATCTTCTTGGTTGATGAGCACTTCTTGCATTTTTCCCCGAGCGAGAAATTTTTATTATGCGGACAAAGAATGCTCTTTGAATAATCTGAGGTTAGTTGCAATGCTTACCTATTAACTCTGATTTATTCTTTAACACTATCTTTCACTGAGATCCTCTGATAATTCAAAATAGAGCCTTTGTATTCCTCAGACTATCTAGTCAACAATGCAGTATTTTTAAGTGTGCTTCTTCTTTCACTTTACTTCGATATACCAAAGCATGCACAACATCCTTAATTAGATGTTGCATATATTTTACTATTCTTATTTAGTGACTTCTCCAAATTGCCAGACAAATATTTCTTATCAATTTATGTTGACTATTAAGTGTTTTTAAGTACAGTTTTAAGGTCCAAATTTTCATATTCCTGAATCTCTGGAGTATCTTTGCTGAGAGTGTTCTTCCCTAAAGATAATTTATCCTTGAAAGTTTAGCCCTGACTTGTTCCTTCATTATAAGTTGGCCTTCGAGGTCCTGATTAAAATTAACTATTATTATTGTATGCAGATGAGTTTTTAGTAAAAGTAATACTGTCATTGTTGGGTCTCCCAGCCTCTGCACCATGATACTACTTAAAGTCCTCTCTAGACTAATCCATCATATACTTTTGGTAAAAACTTTTATCTCTTGCTATTAATGAATCTTTGAAGTCTATAAATGTATCCGCTATTGGGGATCCACATATTCTAGAGTCTTTGAGATTAGAGTCATTATTAAAATTTCGTTTGGAATACTTGCTCTGATTTTTTGTATATAAAATTTGATAGTAATTACTCTTATACTTTATATCATCGAGCTTGCTGATAACACTGTTGTTGTTTGAAGTAGTTAATTCAGGAGATCTGCTTCCATTGAATTAGCTTGGTTGCTTGTGTTTTCTATTTGCCATAGCCCTCATTATGATATTTTTCATGTCATTGCCAACACTGCCAGTTGTCCTTACTTGTTAGTTAAATTCCATATCATTAGATTCATGAGGAGACAACTGTCGGTCAAATGTTCGATCCTCAGCAAGCATCCTAAACTCATAGCTATTCAGCTGCTGTTTTCCTGTGTCATCATTATTGTCAGTATGTGTAAGTACATTGCTCAAGTCTAACTAATTGCCTTGCATCATTTATCTGTATTACTATTCTGTGTTTATTTATTCAATAAGCGACTCTACTGAATCTGATCTAATTAGCTTTTTAGGTCTGAATGGTTCATTGTCAGTGATAAATTAGTAGGGTTGAGAATCTTTCTTCTTATACTAAAAGTAGCTTCTCTTAGTAACTTAAAATATTTCTCGTTTAGAATAGAAGTACATTAGTGCTTTCTCAATTTCAATCAACTCTTCTTCGTTTAGTAAGTCTCTATTTAGTTCAAAAATTTTTAGGAATTTGTTGAATGTTGTCTTCTTTTTAGTATAAGATTTGGTTGCAGATTTTGAGATGAAATGCAGATTTGACAGTAAAATTATTGCTATTCTACTACTATTTAGACTAAATGAATGATCTGATAGTACAGAGTCTATGGTGTTAATTAGATAGTTGATATTTTTCCTGAACCATCCTGTTTTAAACTCTTTTTAGATTTTTTTCTTTTCGTATTTCTTCATATATTTAGAGGTTTACGACAAGATTGAGGTACCCTTTCCTCGATCAGATGACCCACTTGAGATTGAACTCTTGTATTCAGAATGAGTATTCAATTGAGGATCATTACTAATCCCCTTTATCTCATCATCTGATAGAGTAAGAAGTAGAAATAGTCCACTTTATAAGCCTACATCATCAGCCATCAATTAATATTTTTAAAGTCTTTTTTCTATGGTTTTATGATCTTCAAAGTACTTAGTTATTTTTTTCCTAAGTTGTATAAATTCAGTCTATTTTTAGTGCTGATCAGGCTGGTTGTAAAATTTAAGTAACTTTATCTCCTTTCTTTTCTGAAGGAGAGTGTGAGTAATCTAGTTTATTGCACAATGACTTACTAAAAGTTCTTGCTCTAGCCAGTCTTTTCTTAAATCACTTCTTAGATCTCCAGGAGCCTAGTTAAAGCTGCTGTTCATGTGACTATTTGATCTACTAGTGGCTTGATTCATGAAGCAAGGGCTGTTTAACTAATGGTTTTATGCCATCCCACCAGCGATTTACTACTGCTATTGAGAAGTATAGAGTTCTTTTCTGTTCTTAAACTTTAAAGAACTGTTTTGATTTTCTGTGCTCGCCAAATTATTATATCCAGTTTGAGCTTGTTATGAAAGTTAGTTAGTTAGTGATGTGGGATTAGGTTTTAATTTGCTAATATTTGAATTGTGATTACTATTGTAAATGTTATTATATTTGTTGGATGACGATAATGCCATCTAGGATCCACTTCTATCCATGTTTGCCATTGAACTTGTTCAGTTTGCTTAATCATTGCTCTGAACCAATTCTAGAAGGAGGTCAATGTGATTATTGCATTTAGCATAGATGAATTTCTCTTTGTCTCCGAGTAACTTGATAGTCGTGGATATGCGCGGACTATATTTTGCATCTCAGTGATTCTGGCTAAGTGGACTTAAATTTTTCTAAAACTTGAAAGGATTCTCAACATCTAGCACCATTTACTAAGATTGCCTTGTCGATTTAATGTCTAAATTTGATAACTAGGTGTCTCTGAAATTCTAGTAGTTCATGTTACTCTTATTCGATTCAATGGCCTTCTTACCGAGAACAGAGTTGTCCTGAGTCTTAGAGTGGGAGCTTATCGTTTCATGAATCATAGATAATTGAGACTTTTCATCATAATCCTTGTTGCCTGAGTTGCGCCTCTTCATTCGCTAAGGTGTATGCAATGCTGGTTGATGTAATCCTGTCAAGTTCAAAGAGCTTTTAGTTGAATCCTATGTAAAAGTTGTGGATATCGCAGAATTGTAGAGTGCCATATATTCTTTGATTAAAATGATGTATGATGATTTATAATAATATTATCAGAGATAATTGATCAAACAATGGCCTTAGCGTAATCATAGTCTTACGGGGTTTTGGGGTTTTGGGGTTTTGGGGTTTTGGGG